GTCTCTTTTGAATGACGAAGACCAAAAGCAACTTCAGAATTGTGAATTTCCGTTATCCCCAGCTAATCTTTTCAAATTGTATTACATGGTTAACGAATACATCTTGGCACTAAAATACTACCCGAACGAGACCGAGTCACCTGACTTGATCGAAATTAAAATTTCATGCTTGCGCTTAGCTGGAAATGCGTTAGTGGAAATGGATAGAGGAGATGAATCATATGACTACTTCATGCAATTTCTTGCAATGCTTCAAACAAAAGAGGGATTTATGGACAAGCCCTTTCATGCTCAATGCGCAACCCTTGGAAAATATTCTTTTGCAAATCAATATTACATTTTCCGCTCGTTGGGAGGGATAATGGCATGCGAAAGAGAGAATCTTGATGGTGCAATTCAGTGTTATGAACGATGTCTTGAACTAGATGAAGATTTGACCCGTGACCAAGGCCTTGTGGCAGTCCTGGCTGACCTTTATCAATCAAAAGCGTTAACAGTTGACATACAAGACCAAGATTCCTACAAACAACAGATGGACCTTGCTCTTAATTTGTTCCATAACCTGCTTCAAAAGACTGCCGAGTTGACACCATTTGTAGAATGCTCTTTTGCATCGCTTTTGTCGAAATTGGAGCGTTGTGATGAAGCTGTTAAACATTTTGAAAATGTTATTAAAAGAGCAGATGACACACCTATTCGCATTACGGACGCAGACAAGCCGTTGTTAGACGTTCACTTTCGTCGTGAAATTGAAGTTAGAGGCCGTTTTGAGATCTCATTAAAAGTCCAAACTTTCTACGAGTTAATTTTAACTTATATGAAATTGAATGAAGTGGGAAAAGCTGAAGAAGTCGCGCTTCAATTGGAGAATTATGTTAAACGTTTTCAATCCACTCCAAAGTATTCTCGGGCTCTGTCTATAGTAGGATACGCCTACAAACTAGTTGGAAACAAAGAAAAAGCCGCGGAGATATTTGTTTCGGTATTGGAAATCATCCCGGGACATTTACCGGTCACAGAAGCATTGGAAAGCCTCTGTATGTGAGACTGGACATGATGTGAATTACGTAACTGTGAATAACTTAAATCTTACTGCCTTGCGACTAGGGCTGCTCCCAATTAATCGATGATTTTTTCGTTTTTCTCCGCAATCGATCATACTTAACAATAATCGGGATTATAAAAGATCCTGCACAGCATGATAGATTCATCAGTATTTCGTTTCAGATCACTTTGATCCTGATTTAAGTGTTTTCAGATCTTTAGTAGCGCAATAACATGTTCTATTATATTCATTTTGAAATCAATGGTGTTTCCTGCAATCTAACTGGTTCACAGGAGTGCGATTTCAGCACGAATCGCACTCCTACCACAACCTCGTTCCCAGGGTCTCTCCTTCTGTCATCTGGGAAAGACCCTGGCTGCGGCTGGTCACGTGCCTCCCAGATTCTGGGAGGTAAATTTAATTGTAACTGTGAGAGGGGTGGGAATGGAGCGTGTTTGTAGCGTTTTAAAATTGCAACTTTGAGTGATGAAATTTACTGTAAATTTGCAACACGAAATCGTAAAGAGAACTCTTTATTATGTAAACATTTGTGTTATATAGAGTTTTTGGCCACTGAGAAAAATCGTATTTAAACACACGTATAAAATACGATATTTTTACGTGTGAAAATATCATTTGTTGTAAAACGCATTGCCACGGACGTTTTATTGTTTTTCACTGAATTTTGTTTATATAATAAACAGAAAAATACATGGGTGCTTGGAAATACCAGATTTATTTCTCGTGTTGAACATGATATCTCACCCGTTCGCTGCGCTCGATCACTCGTGAAATATCATGTTCAACACTCGAAATCTCGAAATAAATCTGGTATTCACGCGCACCCATGTATTATTTAACAATTATTCACGATAATCACCGAGCCTGAGGTGAATAATTGTTTTAGTATAATTTCATAGGTGATTATTTGGAAACAAATTTTAAAATGCACATTTCTTCGTCATTTAATTGACAAAACGGCTTCGACCGCCATTTTGAAAATCGCTTAGGTGATTATCGCGTAATAATCACCTCAACGGCAACCAATCAGCGTGGAGAATTTTCAATAATCACCTATGTAATTATACTAATATGACTTAATATACAATAACCATACCAGCATTGATCTAATAGATCTAAATAATATTTAGAAATAGCATCCAGTGGTCTTGGCAGACTAAAAAGTACTTATAACTAGCCGCCGCTTTTCTATGACGATGGAGGCTGTTTTATAAAGTGTTTATACAATGCAAATACAACATCAACGATATTATATCCGCTTTCTACATATTTTGCGACTAAGCCTATGATAAGCCATTCCAAATACTTTAGATAAGATTCAAATATCAGTCTGCATGAAACATTAAAAGAATAATTTGAAAGATAAATATGTTAAAATTATATTTGCATATTAAAAATATACATTTACAATGTAAATAGAAGTAATGTTTCGTCTCATTGTTCGCTTGTTCTTTGTCTTTTGAGTATAATAACACAATGTCTGCATGTAGAATCTCCATTACCACAAGAATCTACATACCAAGTCCATTTCAGAAAACGATATATTAAGAGTATCCATGTCGCTGCCGTCGAACGACGAGCACTACATATTTGTCAACATATGGCCAAAATATATTTTCAATTCCCAACAGTGGAAGAATGTGATTTCGACCATTCGACCGGCAATTTTTATTTGTATGTGGCCATTTCTCATTGTTACGATTTAAAATAGGTATCTTAGAAAAGCTATAAATAACAGCTCTATCGTCCTATGTAAAAATTGTTTAGCTCAATTAAGTTTATGACGCACGACAGCCTGTTGAATTTCCGTTGCGTTTTTTTGAGCCAACCTGTAAAACCATGCACCTGGTCAGACTTAAACCAATGGTTTACCACCATCTGATTCTTAAAATTAACAAGCTGAGTTTATAAGTTAGTGTAGTTTTAGACTGCAGATACAGCTAACACCGCGGAAAAAGGTCTGCGCATGCACCAAATTATGAAAATATGGCGGGGAATTTGAATATCAATTTCTAAAACAAAGACATGCTTATTAAAAGCGTCCTGGCATTTAAAGTATGGAATGAAATAGATTTTATGTAAAAAAATGTTGATTTTAACGGACACGACTTCGAATTTCAAAGTTTTGCAAAATTATTCAAAACAAAAATTCAAACTCAAAAGTTAAGAAAACTCTCGAAAAGTTAAGCTTCTTAGCCCACTCAAATTGTAGAATAAATCCCAAAGTTTAATTATTGTGAACACGCAAATTTTTTATATTTGGCGACACAGTTTTTTTTAAAGAAATGTATCTCAAACGAAAATTCGGAAATTGTCATTGCTTAGTTGATAAACAAAATGTTTCAGACGATAAATTTGTCAACAATCACCTTTAGTCCATGTTCTTGTACAATACAATTTCTTGAACCTTCTGGCTGTATTTATTTCTAGTTTTTAGAATGACATGTTTATTTTTGCGCTTGAAATCTGGCTGTAAAGACACACAATGAAGTCACTCCTTTTTACCGCCATTTTGAGCCTTCGGAAACGTTTGGAACAGCTTCTCATCAAGTTCGCAATACTATTACAGGTAAGGGTGACGCATGCGCAGACGTTTTTCCGCGGTGTTCCGCGTGTCAACAGGTGGGCAATTTGTCTGAGCATGCGCGAATAAAATCAATATGGCGACATATATTAGGATATATTAGGAGTGTTTCGTGAATTTATCTGGTTTTAAAGCTGATAAAACAACATTTTAATGAACGAAAACTTTGTAATATTTAGTGGAAAACATTGAACTATGTATTCCAAAGGTTTTGAATTGAAAATAAGTACTTTTGCTTTATTTTATTGCTTTTTATGCTTTGAAAACAGGCAAGCTCATTTTTTGGCAAAAATCTAATCTAATATTTTACCCATAATTTGTTTAATCTGAACAGAAATAGATAGAACACTTGGCTATTTAAGTTACAAAGGTATTGTTAGCTTATCTGAAAGATTTCAGTATTCCTGGTACACATTTTAACAAAGAATGAAATGTAATTTCAAAAATTAAATATGCATATCACAAACAATAGTTTTTATTAGAACAGCAAATAATAAGTTGTTATTTTCTATTTTACAAAAACAAGTTTGGAAACAGGATTTAGTCCTCCAGCTTGATGTCATATTCCATTTATTTGGATATTTCAATAAAGGAATGTGAAATAATAATTTAATCTTGTGTAAAATTTGATACCAAAACACATGTGAACAGATACTATCACCTAAAAATAAAAGAAAACAGAACTTAAATTTATCATCTAATACTATGAAAAAAATCTTAGATTCTACAGGCATATAGTGAGCACAATTCTTTAACAAACTCACTAAAATAAGTTAAGTTATACTATGATAAGAGGATGGCAATAGATAACAACATCAAATGTTGTCATCTTCAGTGTCCAAAAAAAGTGCCGCGCGCATTTTTCATGTTATATGTAAACAACGAGTTTGAGTGTTTCATCAGGGGATCCAAACACGAGAAAACTGTATGAAACACGAGCGCGAAGCGCGAGTGTTTTATTGTTTTCGAGTGTTTGGTCCCCTGATGAAACACGAGAAACGAGTTGTTTACACAACATCTCAAACAAAAACATTTCATTGGCTTATATATATTATTATAGTATATTGTTGTGTTTTGACTTGAATTTGTAATTAGGATCTCAGTTATTAGATGAAAACCGTTTTTCATCTAACAACAGTGATGGTATATGATTTTTAGCGTGTTTCCTTGCGGTATCCAACCTCAATCATGTGACGAATTAGGGTGAGTTCAGTGTACATTTACAAGGACAATTTCAACCCTCTGGCACATTTTTCCCATGAATGATTTCAATTCTAATAGAAAGACTATAGATAAAACTTTGATTTAAAGCAAGTTTCAAGTGATGAGCATACCCTAATTTTTAAGCTATACCTCAAAGAAGATGGGCCATTTCAACATAAACATTGAAATATGGGTATACTGACAGCTCTGTCACACGTGTAGTTTGACATTAGCAGCCCTTCTGAAACATTTTAATGAAAGTATAATTCACAAAATTCACATTTTCACTTCTTAACATCTGTTTTAATCCAACTAGCTCTGTTAGGCACGAGTGAAATTTAGTGTTGATGTAAATATCCATTTAGTTCATGTTTCCCCGGAGAAAATATAGTCTATTCCAACGCTGATTTCGACTAGCCTCCTCCGCAGGCATCGCCTTTCGATTATCGGGCAAAATTTCTTGCAGGCAAAAAAATTAATAGTGGCGATGCCTGCCAAAACCCGAAGACTTTGGACCAGCTATGTAACCCTTGTGGACCGGCTATGTTACCCCCACCCCCATGGGATTAATTGTTCATATCAAAACTACTACAAAATGTCAAAAGCTGTGTTACCCCTACTGCCATAGGATACGATCTTTTTATATTCAGACGCAATTCGAAAAAATATCGATCGAGAATATCATTTTTATGTTGCAAATTGAAACAAATATGAATGAAACATTGATTATTTTGCACTTACAACGGATGGCCGGAATTTAACGAAATACAGATGGTCAAACCACGCCGAAACTATGTAAATCGTATCGAAAGATGAAGTATGAAATGTGAATGGAATTTATAAGAATTTTTGCAACTGTTCAATTTATATTTAGTCTGTATCCTACATGCATATAACATCAAATATTAATACTTTTGGAAAATGGAATACTCTAGAATGCAGATGGAGTGGTAAATGTCAAAATTCCAACTGGATAATGGATGCTCCTCATGCTCTTGCCTCTTGGAATTGTCGATTACTGTTACACGTATAGTGGACGTGCATGACATTGAAACTGGTTTGTCAACACAAATTTTGAGATATTTCAGCAAAGAACAAACTTCAAATTTACAATCCCATGTGTTTTTACGCTGTATGTTTACGCTGTATGTTACTATAGCGAGAAATATCTCGGGGATTTGTTGAGTACATG